CCCCCCCCCCCCCCCCCCCCTTCCCTGGGGACAGCTGGGTTCCCCGCCATCATACTGTGACATTTCCATGGTTACTGTGTTCTAGGGTGGGGCAGGGCCTAACCCTGCCCCCTCCCCAGCAGTCAGTATTGGCCCTTCTGTGGGGCAGGACATAGCTCCCCCGCATGCGCCACGGACCCCCCCACCCCCCCATGGGCAACCCCTCCAGCTGGGGCAGGCAGCCATCTGGGGTCCAGTTAATAGATATTGCCCCAGAGCCACAGATGCCTCCAGGGAGGGGGGGCATATGAATGTAGGGGGCAGCAACACTGCTTTCCTGACCCCCCTGCACCTGGGCGCCTGGGTTCTCTCCTATCCCACCCCCCCACCAGCCAGGGAACTGCTCCCCTCCTTTGTAATTGCCCCCGTCCCCCCATGGGGGGCTTGGAGGGTGAAAAGTGGCTAAAAAAGGGAAAATGCCTTAAATGGGAATTAGTGGAAAATTCCCAGTGTGTGTGGGGGGGCACCCAGACACCTGGGGTCCCTGGGGGGAGAGAGACTGCCCTCCTTTCCCCCCCTTTCCCTGCCTCAGTTTCCCCCGGGGGGTGCTTTTATCTCTACCTCCCACTTGCTTGGGGGGGGGGATAGTATTACGGGGTGGGGTGGGGGGATCCCCTGTCCTGCCCCCTCCCCTCCTTCTACTGAGAGTGACAAGATGTTTACAGCCAATGGTGGCTCTTCCTGGCACCCCCTCCAGGAAAGCTCCTCCCCCCCAATAATGGGGGGGTATTAAGGGTGCAGGAGGGGGATGGATCCCCCACCCCGGACTCAGAGCACCCCTGGACACCTGGGTCCCTCAGTGCTGGGGTGCTGCCCCCCCATGCTAAGGGGGGGCCTGACTTGCTGGACTCCTGGGTTCTTTGTGGCCCCCACGGACTGCGGACTTGCCCCGGACTCCTGGGTCTTGGACGGATGGTGCCAAACTAGGCCCCGCCCCCTCCTGGGAAAAGGGGTAGGGCCAGAAAAGGAAAAGGGGTGGGGCCGGGCCGGTGCCTCCCTCCACCTTTCCTCTGTGGACTGGATTTCTGTAATTAGCCCCACCCTTCGCTGTGAATAAGCCCTGCCCCTTGTACATGCCCGCCCCCAATAAAGCTAGTTTGGTTGTGCAGTCACGTGTACGCTGGGAAGGGGCGGGGCTTGGGGCAGAGGTCGAGGGAGGGGCGGAGTTAAGATCTTCGGGAGGAGCTTGGGGTTGGAGTCAAAGGAGGGACGGCACAGCATTGGTGGGCTTAGAAGTTGAGGAAGGGGCGTGGTCTGGCAGCAAGGGGGAGAGGCCAAGTGGAGGCTGCCCCTCCCCTTAAGGGAATTTAGGCTGGACTTCCTAAGCCCCGCCCCCTTGCCTGCGGCCCCGCTCTTCATGCTTGCCTACCACATAGCTACAGTGAAAGCTGGGGAGGCTCGCAGCCCTGGGGCGCTCCGTGCGCGTGCGCGGTAAAAGCGAAGGCAGTTCTCTGCGCATGCGCACTAAGAGGAGGGGTGGGGCGCTCCATGTGCGTGTGTACTGGGATGGGGCTGACCGGGGGCGGGGCAAAAAGCCACAAGTGAGCAGTTGGGGGTGGAGGGTCAGATGTCACTAGAGAGAGGGTCATAGATCCAGGAGGGTTGTCTCGGGGGAGCAGGGGTTCCCTGGGGGTCAACGTGGGGTCAGAGGTCACTGAAGGGATCAGGGGTCATGCAGGGGAGCTGCAGCGGTTGGGGCTCACTGTGGGGTTTTTGGGAGTAAGTGTGAAGTCAAGGGTCACTGGGCGCCCTTGGGTGGGTGTTGGGGGTCAATGTGGAGGCATGGCGGCATTGATGAGGGTCCCTGGGGAGTCTGTGTGGAGTCACGGATTACTGGGGGGTTAGCGGGACCATGGAGGGGAGAATTGTCAGATCAAAGGTCACTGGGGAGGAGG